TCGGATGCTGGGTGACCTCTCAAGGACATGCATAATTCGGCGGCGTTCTTACACGTGGTCACAGCTCCTTGTGGCTGTGCGCTTACCTCTGTTCGCGCGCGTTTTTCCGTGTAAACTCGGAGTGTCTGTCTCTCTGTCTGGATTGATGGATGGATGGCAAGGGTGGCGGCTCACGTGTTCGGCTGCCGTAACATCCATGTTGTGTATGCCCGCCGTGACTTAAACTGCTGCTAAAAAAGGTCGCGTTTACCGCATGTCGACCTCAAACACTCCAAGGTGCAAAAGACATTTCAGATGGAGTCAGAGGAGAATCGTTTATTCATTCAAAAAACATTAAATGACACGTACTAAGAGAAAACAGTCATGTAGAGGAAAACCAATAAATTTATCAAAACTTTCACTTACCGTTATCTCAAAGGTATGCCCTGAAAGCTTGGCACTGCAAATTCCTACTGCTTTGGAAGACATGGGAAGTCAAAGACGTCAGAAACGTCCTCCAAAACAGAAGCAGATAATTTATAAAAGGCGCAATTAGTGGCATGAACGAGCCTTATGTACTTCCACTGATCATTCATACAAAAAATTATATCGTTAGGAGTTGGAGATGACCTAAAATGAGGGGATACCCCCGCCGATGGCCTCAACAAACCCTCACTAAGCCTCCGTGTAATCTGCGGTAGCGGAAGAGGCGGTTTTCGTACTTGCCGTTTGGGACGTCAAAAGTAACTTTAAAATGCAAAGGCTGAAAAAGAGTCCACCGATCCATGCCTAAGCGCATCCTCCGGCAGGTGCATAAGGCTGTGAACGTTGTACACGATGGCATCTGCCCCATAAATCTGTTGAAAACCATAATTAAAGTTATATAATAAATTAGAACAAAATCTTGCAGTTTCGACAGACACTTCACTAATTGATAGTAATCTGAGCGATACTGCAAGTAACATAAAATTATTATAAATTGGTTCCTTAATTATACCCTTAAGGACATAACAACCGGTGCATAACAGGGACATTCTAAGTTCCGTTGCCTTCCATCTCCTACGGGCCCTTTGTGTAAATTCAAAAGGCAGACTACTGTTACAAAACAGAAGTCGCTCGCTAATCCTTTCAGTAGGTATTGGAAGGCTGTCGGCGTTATACGTAAACGGGTTGGACCGTTTATCCATAATCCTAAAAGTTTCCTGACTGCACCTAAGTATACTAGGTGCATCGGATCTAAAGGAAAACAATCTATAAGATCTAAATAAAAGCTAAGAAAGGTGACCTTCCAACACAGTGAGTGTCGGGTAAGTAAAACATAAAATCGGCATTCAGCCGCAGATCCTCTATCGGACCCGCATAAGTCATTCTACGATTTTGATGCACCTACCGAATGCGGCACTTCTCGCAGCCTGCAGTTGCGCCTACATTCCTAACTAGTTTGAGATATGCCCGCGCAGGCGCACCACAAATTACGGCTGAAATTGTCACATTAATCCTACGCCCTAGGACTGACACGCCCCCACTTCTAACCTTAATTATCTCACTAACTAACGCACGACAATAACTATGCACATCTGCAGGCTCGGAATCACCGCAGAAAATGCCTATAGGGAAGACGCCACTGACAAATGGACGCCTTATCCTCCCTAGAAGTGGCCACAAGTCCATCTTAGTTTTTTTGAATAAAGTCAGTCAGTCCGTCACAGTTCAGTTGCACTTCAGCCGTATCTGCGCCGGCAAGTAGGCCTATATTATCTTTGATAACCCACACTAACTGATCAATCAGGCCAATGTGAGCATATTCACCGTTGTCCATGGGAATTGTTTTATATTTATTACTAGTTTCTAAAAGCGTCCTCGGGTCCAATGGGACCTTAAGGTTATTATCCTTCATTAGCCTAAGAACATAACGTAAAGTGTCATGCTTTACTTCACAGAAAACAACCCATTCCCTCACCTGCTTCCTAAAGCTATCAACAAAGCAGAAGGCAACAAATGAAAAAGAGCCTTTTCTTCTTCTCTTTCTTCTTCTTCTCCAGAAGAAGAAGAAGCATAAGAAGAACAGACCAACCAGTAGCAGTCAGAAGACGTTAACAAATCCTCTCTGTTTGTCATTATTCCTGCATCAGCGGATGAACACATAAATAAATAAATAAATTTTATATTTTAGGCCCGGAGGGCCTCGTCA